CAGCCATGTGACTTGATAAGTTGTGGTCTGTGCCCCCTCTGTGCCCCAGTCTCCTCAGTAAAATAATACAAAGCCCCACCTCTGAGGTTGTGGTGGGGATTGAGTGAGTTAACTATAGATGTCACTGCACTGTTTGGAAATCAAAAGCAGTATTAAGGTACTGCCTGGTTTTTTTAAAATGTTGATCAGTGAGCCCTGGCTGGTGTGGGTCAGTGGATAGAGCATGGGCCCCACACACTAAAGGGTCTCAGGTTCAATTCCAAGACAAGAGCATGTACCTGGGTTGCAAGTTCAATTCTGATCCTGATCCTGGCTCTGGTCTGGGCATGTGCAAGAGGCAACCAATCGATGTTTCTTTCTCTTCTCTCTCTCTCTTCCTCCCTTTGTCCCTCCATCCTTCCATCCCTTCCACTATCTCTAAAAATCAATGGAAAAAATATCCTCAGGTGAGGATTAACAAATAAATCTATATATATAAAAGCCTAAGCAATCGTTAACGACTGGACAACCAGACAACTGTCCTGTTGCTATGACGTGCACTGACCACCAGGGGACAGACGCTCGATGCAGGAGCTTCCCCCTGGTGGTCAGTGCGCTCCCACAGCCAACCTCCTGCGGCTGGCCAACTTCCTGCAGTCCCTTTCACCAGCCAGCTGGCCCCAATTGGCTACCCAACCTCCCGTGGTCCCTCCACCCAGCCAGCCTGCCCTGATTGGCCCTGATTGAGACATTGGCTCCAATCAGCCCCAATCACCGACCAGGCCAAGGGACCCCACCTGTGCACGAATTCGTGCACCAGGCCTCTAGTAAAATAATAAAACGTTGATCAATGAATTGGAATGTTAATGTTTGGAAACAATTTTAAGAACTCTAATCCTTTTACCCCCTTATTCAGCTGGCCTAAGACTTAGAACCCTGACCATCCCTTTAACCCACTGGCTTTCTGTTTCCCCTGAGTCTTTCTTGGTTGTGGGGGTGACAGGTAATAGGAGTCCAGAGTAGGGCTTGGCCCCCTCCTGCCACCCTTTTATCATAAATAAAATGTATCAGGTCAGCCCTGGGTGAGGGAAACACTTTATCAAAGCTTATGTGAGTCTCCTGGGCTGAACTAGCACATGTCTGCATATTTCATATGAAATATGAAAGGATACACTTCAAAGCAAGGAGTGGATATACTTCATGTTAGTCACTCCACCAAGGAGCAGGAAGTCCATCCTGGGACAGCAAATCTGTGCTTGGAAACATTTCAGCAGACACATGAGCAGGGAGGCCTGAGCCATGGCTGATGATGCCCTACTCAACACACAGCCTTGCTTTTCATCTTCTTCTCCTTAGAGCAGTGGTTCTCAACCTTGGCTGCACATTAGAATCACCTTGGAATCTTTTTAAAATCCTGATTTCTGGGCCTCATCCTCCGGAATTTAAATCAGGAGTTTAAAAAGATTCCCAGGTGATTCTAATGTGCAGCCAAGGTTGAGAACTACAGTGGGGCCTTGACTTACGAGTTTAATTCGTTCCGAGACCGAGCTTATTAAGGAGCTCGTTAAGGAGCTCGTTAACTCAAATTACTCTGTCAACTCAATGCAAAAAATCGGCTGAGAGACAGCTGGTGTCTCAAAATACCCGTTAGTCAGGACACTCGTAAGTCAAGGCCCCACTGTACTGCTCTAAGGGTTAGAACCACACACACGTTTTCTTAAATAACTGTAATCAGAAAAAAACCCTAATGCAGTGGTTCTCAACCTTGGCTGCACATTAGAATCACCCAGGAATCTTTAAAATCCTGATTTCTGCCGTAACCGGTTTGGCTCAGTGGATAGAGCGTCGGCCTGTGGACTGAAAGGTCCCAGGTTCGATTCCGGTCAAGGGCATGTACCTTGGTTGCAGGCATATCCCCAGTGTGGGGTGTGCAGGAGGCAGCTGGTCGATGTGTCTCTCTCATCGATGTTTCTGACTTTCTATCCCTCTCCCTTCCTCTCTGTAAAAAATCAATAAAATATAAAAAATAAAAAATAAAAAAAAAATAAAATCCTGATTTCTGGGCCTCATCCTCTGGAAATTCTGTTTCTTTGTTATGGGGTGGGGCCACAACATTAGTAACAAAGAAACAGAATTTCCGGAGGATGAGGCCCAGAAATCAGGATTTTAAAAAGATTCCTAGGTGAGTCTAATGTGCAGCCAAGGTTGAGAACCACTGCCTTAGAGTATGAGTCTCCCCCGACAAAGGATCTAAAAGCTGACTTGTGTTCTGTGCTCTCTTCCCCCCAACCCCTCTAATCCCCACCTCCCCACCCCCCATATACTCTTTCTTCTGTGGAGTAGAGACCAGATTTGGACACAATCCCAACTACCCCTCTCTGGGTGCCTCTGGAGAGCTCCTTTTTCTTTTCCTCCCCCCTCTTCCTTCTCTCCCTTCCTCCTTGAATTGGAATGTTTCCATCTTTTCCTCTTCTCCTTCCCGCTCTCCTCAAGGTCCTTGTCTTCCCTCCTCTCCCTCTCCCACTCCCTGCTTCCCTTCCTCTTCCTTTCTCTCTCCCTCCCCCCTCTTTCCCCTCCTCCTTTTTTCTGCAGTTACCCCTCCTGGCCCATGATTGCTGTGTGGTAACGTCACTATATCTGACTGCATCTTATTTCGCGGCTCATACATTTTGCCTCTGCAGATGCATCAGGAGCCAAGGGAGTTGTTGAAACGTTGTCGCTTGGCACATGAGGGAATGGACAGTTTGTGAATGTTTTAGTCCCTCTGTTAACTTTACAGTAGAATCCAGGGATTTTGTGTTTCGGAAATACTGATATTAAGTGGTTTTGGGGAAAAGGTCAGCCTCTCCCAGGAGTGCTTTTCCACATATGGGCACTTTTTCCAGATTGCCAGCTGCCTCCAGCCACCTCCTAGAAAGGACGGGACTGTGATAAGAGTCTGAATCACAGCCGACAAGAAATGTGGCCCAACACAGCTGTGCTCAGAACTCTGTCCTCCCCAACGCTAGGGCACTGAACGTGGCTTTCTTATTCTGTGAACCTACAAAGGCTGCTCGGGGATCCCTGTGCACTCATTCTCACAGATCTCGCCAAGTGGTGGCAGTAGGGTTTACGTAAAGGGCAGGAGGGGCAGGAAAAATCAGAAATGAGGGGCTTCTCTTAAATTAACTTGACTTTTTATTTTTCACCTTATAGGGTTTTTAACATTATGGGTTGAGTTCTACTCAACTGACATCAGAACATTAGGCTGCACTCCAGCCAGCCATGCATTCGTGGCATGACCTCCAAATGCCATAACTGCTTTGTGCTTCAGCGTTTCTAGCTACAGAATGCTCGTAATGTCTTTCCTACATCATCTCAGGCTGACTTTAAAATCTAGGAAAGAATGTATGACAAACTTGTCCTGAGCACCTTCAAAGAAAGTTATTTTGAAAGGTCAGTAGTTACAGCAAAAGCTCAGGGCTGCCCACCCCTGCCCGCCCGGCCACACCCCAGCCTGCCCTCTGTGCCGTCCACCAGTGCATGGTAAGGCTGGGCAGGCCTCCCTGTCCTGCATTCCCCGAATATTTACTTTCTGAGTAATCCCACCAGTTCCACTGAATGGAAGAATTGAGCTTTCACCAAGGGTTTCAAGCTTTCTGCCCACACAGATACAGAAGTTAGCACTGACAATATAGACAAAGGAGAGCCTTCCTGTCCCTGTACCGTTTCCACCTGAAAACATACCCAGTGCTAAAAGAGATCCCTCTTGGGCCCGGCTGAAGTAGCTCAGTGGTTGAGTGTCGACCTATGAACCAGGAGGTCACTGTTCAATTCCCGGTCGGGGCACATGCCTGGGTGGTAGGCTCGATACCCAGTGGGGTGCATGCAGGAGGCAGCCGATCAATGATTCTGTCATCGTTGATGTCTCAATCTCTTTCTCCCTCTCCCTTCCTCGCTGAAATTTTTATGTATGTATGTATGTATGTATGTATGTATTTATTTATTTATTTATTTATTTTAAAGAGATTCCCCTCGGGCTCTGTCACCTGGGGTGGAGGGAACACAGCCTTTCCCTCTAGTACTCTAGAGTTAGACAGTGTTAGAGCTAAAAAGACTCACCCGCCCTGGTCCAGGTGTCTCCAATTACCCATGAGGAAACTGAGTCCCAGAGGGCTGAAGTCCTTGTCCAGAGTCCCACAGGAATTTATTGGCAGCGGCTGAGCTGAACCTGAACCCAGGTCTGCTGACCCCGGCCACAGTTTTCCTGCCACTCCACTCTACTTCCATGAGGCCTACTTCAGGACAGCAGACTAGAACCATAGGAGGGAGAGCAGAAGGAGAAGGAATGGAAGTGACGGACAAGGAAGGAGGCTTGGAGAAGCTTGGCCAGGTCCCTCCCCAACCCTGCCCTCCATGTGCTTATAGGGTACTCCTAGGACTCAAACACCTGGAGGATTTGGGGGGTTGCCCACAGGTGCCTGCCCCATCCTGAGCCTGAAGCCATAGCAAGTGTCAGGCTGGGTGCTGAGTCCCTAGGCATCACATAGTGAAAACAGACCCCAGTACTTCTGAGGTCACTTTAGGGGGATCGGGCAGGGCCTGGCAGGAGCTCGGCATGCTCCAGCCCAGTGGGGCCTGGGATTCCCCTGGGTGAGAAGATCCGGATGCCTGACCAAGGAGCAGCCTGAAGAGGTGCAGGTGAGGCTAGCAGGCTTTGGGTTAAGGCCCAGCTCTGAGTAACTCTGAGCAAGTTACTTAACCTAACCTCTCTGAGGTTAAGAGTAATTTTTTCCTCCTGAGGTTAATATGAGGAGCAAATGAGATGATGTAAAATATCTAAGTGTTCAATAAATGTTGGTAAAAATCAAAGTGAACAGTAAGGAGTCTGGTAGCAGATAGCCCCAATGGAGGTCCCATCAGTCCCCTGCAAGCCCCACTTCACAGCAGATGATGTCAGCAGCCCAGAAAGGCCAAGGAGCTCCGTCGTTGGCACACTCTGCAGTGCCGTTCTGATCCCACCTTTGATCTCTTTCTTCCAGATTCATGTGCTCCCAGCTGCCCAATCAGGTCCTGAAGAGCATCAGCATCATCGACAGCCCGGGCATCCTGTCTGGGGAGAAGCAGCGCATCAGCCGAGGTCAGTGCCCTTGCCCGCCCCGCCCCACCCAGTGCTGGCCGAGGCGCTCTCTGCTGCTGGCAGAGGATTTCCATTCCTAGTGTATTCTCCCCATGCTCCAGGACCCCCAACGTCCCTGAGCAGCCCAAGGTCCCGAGCTGAAGGGGCCCCAAGAAATAACCAAGGAGTCTGGCTAACCAATCATAAGCAGGCAAGCTAATGACAGCAGCAGGGCAGGGGGGCTTCCCAGCTGCTCTCTCTCCCTCCCCCATTGGCACATATTCCACCCAGTTGCCCCCTCGGCATCCTTGCCTTGAGTAAGTGTTTTCTGGTATGTACTTGGTGCCAGACACTGTCCTGTGATTGGGAGTGCGGAAAGCAGGTGCAGTTTCTGCCTTCGAAGAGTTTATGTTCTGTTGAGGAAGACAGACGTTAATTCAGTTTTTACAAAGTAAATGGAAAATGTGAGCTGGGATAAGCACTCAGAGATGGGGGCTGTATATCAGGTATAAGGGGACCTGGCCTGGCTGTGGGATGCTGGTAAAGGCTCCCCAGAGGACGTGCATTTGAGCCAGAATCTGGAGGATGCCCAGGAATTACCTGAGGGCAGCTGGCGTGGGAAGGAGAGACTGGCTGACTGGTATTCAGAGGAGACTGGGGAAGAATAGAAAATGACTGAAGAACAGTGATGTTTGGGCGTCTTCAGCCTTCCGGAAACAAGGCTGAGGCAGTGACTGTTTCCAGACCCTTGCATTGTGGCTAAACAGATGGGCCTGGTCGCTCTCCCACCCTCTTGGAGAAAGGGGGTATCCGGGCAGACCAGAGGACACAGTTTACTTAGAGAAAGGAAATTCCTGACTGGGAGGACACCTTGATGGACTCCTATGACCACAAAGATAGGTCAAGTTCCCTTCATCCTGGCCTGGCAAGTACATACCAGAAAAGGCTTTGCTGGGAAGGAGAAGACGAGCTGATGAATTGCTGCTATCACTTTTCACTTCACCACCCCTTGAACAGCAAGTCAGTGGAATTCTGTTGAGAGTGCTGGCATGCTGAAGTTGAGCAGTGACCTGTCTGGGGTCGTGGTCATGGGTCACGGCCACACAGTGAACTCCCTCAGTGCTCCTGAACAGAATGTAGTTACAGAGGCCACAAGAGCTAACAGGCAAGAGCCCCAATGCAGTAAACAACGGGCTTCCTTGGTCTGCATGCCCTTCTTTCCCAGCATTTCTGGGGTGCTGACCGCAGCCGCCATGGGCTCACCGAGCGCTCGCTCGGGCTGCCTGGCTGTGCCTTCACCGCCCAGGTCAGGGACTCGTGGGCCATTAAACGTTACACTTACAGCAAAAGTCAGGTTGATACTATTCTTCTCTCGTAACCATCTTTGTTGGTTTTATTTTCTGTTATAAAAGTAATCTTTATTGTAAAGGATTCAAATAATGAGTAGGATGTACAAAAATCTCCCTCTGTCACAAATAACAATGGTCAATGATTTTCTCTGGCTCCTTGGAGACTTTTTTCTATGCATATACAACACATTACTTTGAACAGAAATGTGATTAGTATGCATGTTTTCTACAGCATGCTTTTTGCCATAACAGTCTGTCGCAGACATCATTCCATGCCAGTGTATTCAAATTATTTTATTCCACTTAATAGCTGCTTAGTCTCCATCAGAGAGAGGAAACATAGTTTATTTAACCAACTTGTGGATATTGTGGTGGATAATAATTTCACTCTTACAAATAGTGTTATAGATCGGCATCTTTTGTGTATCTATTTAAAAAATCTTTATTGTTGAAAGTATTACATATGTCCCCTTTCTTCCCCCATTGGCCCCTTCTGCCCCTCCCTCCTGATCTCTTTTGTGTATTTTACACCTCAGTGCCAATAGACTCTTCTTAAAGAGCCAGTTTAGGACCATTAACTGGCCCCATGCAAGTTGCTCTGCAGATAAAATGTTTTGTTTTAAAAGGAAAATAAAGTAAACTCATGTTCCAGAGCTTTTCCCAGCTGCCCACGGCACACTGCTTCTGCATGTCTGACCAACGTTACTGAGAAGCAAAGGGTTGCTGGTAATAAATCTCTCTCTTTACCTCTAAGTTTTAAGACCCAGATTGTAGTTTCTACCTTATCCTCTTCTTTTCATTGGTAGGTAGGCCTTTGGCCAATTCTGATCACCCATATTCTTCAGGATTTCTCCTTCTCTTAGTAATTGTGTCTTTCAAACTGTAGCTCCTGTTTGTAGCATGGCAGGACGCTTTCAGAGTGCTTTGAAGATCAGTCCTTTTTGCCACTTTATAATAATCTGACTCACATCCTGGTCTGGCTTACTGTGACATGTGCTTACACACATCCTATGCACAGAAATAGCACTTCCAGCCAGTCGGCTGGTCCCTGCCGCCCTGACAGGCAGAGCAGCTGGTGAGGACGGACCGAGAGCTGCAGATAGTGTCAGCACTACGCATGGGGCCAGCGCTCCCCAGCTAGAGTATCTTACCATGTTTGGGCACCGTTGGTGGTTGGAGTCACTCAGCTGACAGTTCCAACACATTAATCCCAAAGAACATATGCTATTTTAAAGCTGCTTCTGCTTAAACTATTGCAAATGGTGCTACATTCTCACACACACTCGTGTATCTACTTGCATCTCTCAGCTTCCTAAATCACAGCACCACCTTCGTCGGTCATGTATGTCAACATGGGGTGAGGTAGGAGGTGCAGAACATTTGAAACATCTGCATCGACTTAATCAGTGGAGCTGTGCCTCCCCTGTGGTGTTTCGTCTGTGAAAGAGGAGAGGTAACCGCTGCTGTGTCTTCTGTTTGTCCGTGCAGTTGATGTGTTAACCCTCAACAAGGGGTCTCATCACGGAGGCCCCTCTTGCACATTGAAGGCTTCTCCTTGAGGTGTGTATCCATGATAGTGGTATGAGAATGGCCACCGTGTACTGAGCTGTGTCTACACTGTGCCAATTGTTTAGGATTTCTATCTACGTTACACACAATCATGCACACACACAAGCTGAGCCCTGGCCCAGGAAACCCTTCTCGCCCTCACTTCCCCTGGAAAGCAGAGCCTCCCAACGATCCTGAGAATTCTCTCCCCAGCTGCTGGGCAGACGGGAGGTGGAGCTTGACATGGGGAGAATGGGCAGAGTAAAAACTGTTGAGAAAGTGCCACTTTCAGAGAACAGGCTCCGAGGATGAGCGCTTCAGGCAGTGCTGACGGCAAAGCTGCGGTGTGGGCCCAGCCCTTCCTCTGGCCTGCAGGGGTGTGCAGTCCTGGCAGAGAGCGTGCTGGACAGACAGTGCAGCTGCAGGAGGAGGTGGCGAGTGTGTGGTGACTGCTGCACGTCCGCTAGGAGGACCTATGGACTGCACCACACCCAGAGGTCTCCCCATCAGCACAGAACAGCACAGACGGCAGGCGGCGTGGTGGTGCATTGTGCTGCTTTGCTGGGGGTCAGATGGGGAACAAGGGGCCTGACAGGAGCTGGCATTACATCATCACCAGCAGCATTCAGGTACCTCCCAGGCATTGCCCAGGTGCCCAGAGCTCTGCAGAGAAGATGGCCTAGTGAGGGTGTGTCTCCAGGAAGGAGTCCTGATGCCTTAGTAGTGAGCACAAGATGGAGACTCTCAACCTGGGGTTCAGTTGCGCATCTCACCTCACCTGTGGCTCATTCTTCCTTGTTCAGTCTTCTCTCTCGTGACATCATAAGCCTAGTCCTCCCCGCCCCCCTTTTTTTGTGCTGAGTAGAGGGGGCAAGTGGGACTACAAGGAGGACATGGTGTTTTGCAGACATTGCTCTTCCCTAGGCCAAAGCTGTAGGTGACAAGAAGAAACACTTGATATTTCTATACAATAGTTCAAATTTCACGGTGTTAGGTTTGAAGTGAAATCACTTTTATGTGAGAAATGGCCTTTACGGATCAGAATGTGTCTAAGCACTGCCTTCTCATCAGCAGAATCTTACACTGACCCTGAGCATCAGGTCACTGCCCTCGTCACCTCCCTGCTCTGCTCCAGGAAAATCAGAATGCAAGTCAGCACTGGGGGAAGTAACTCCTGTTCGGGAACTCTATAGGCAAAACTCACGATGGTAATTGACTTCGGAGCAACTTTTGGTATTCTCCATATGAAAACCCATCCCCTTAAAATGTTCCTTCGTTTCATTATAGTGGCATAAAATCTTTAGGAACAAAAGATTGAGCATAGTTTCTAAACTGTAACTTTCTTGGCCGACATAAAGAATTCCCATCAAGTAGGGACAAAAATGTTCTGATATATTGATAGTAATAATTTTATTCTAATCAAGTAATAGCTTCCTAAAAATTCTACAGACTTTTCTTAATTCTTTTCTTATAGCCAATTAAAAAAAATCTTGATTCTTAAGAATTTTTAGATTATTTTTTCAAAATGGGTAGGTGGAATCTGATTGGCTCACTCCTGAGAAACATTCTTTGCCCCCTGATGACAACATCCAGATTTTTAACTCTTTTTTTTTCCCTGACTCTTTCTGTGTGATGACACATCCTTATTTTTATTCCCATTCTCTTACTATTCTGGCTCCTGGACTGTTTGCATCCTAAAATACTAATTATTTCATACTGAACCTAAACATCATCTAGGATTTATTTCTGGACCCAGCATGAACCCAGTGTGTTCCCAACTATGGCGTACAAACCCCCGTCTGGCTCCAATCACAGTGTCCCTGTGTGACAAGGAGAACATTGTGAAAACCACTGTGGCGCCTGATGGGCTTGTCCACATATTTAGCACAAAAGCATTTGGAAGGTACTGTGGTTTCCTGAGAGTATGAGGTTCTGTATAGTCTTCAACACACTGGACTTTGGTCATAAAAATAGTACAGTTTTTCCCTTTTAAGAACTCTAGAAGAAAAAACCTCTTGATCTGAATTTTCTGTTGAAAGTTGAATTTCCAGCAGCTCATCAAATGAAAGGGAGAAGTGTCTTCCCCTGGTGTTTAAGCTCTTCTCACTACAAGTCCTTTCCATT